AAGCCCTGAAAAAACACCTGGGGTTTCCTGAGTAGTTCGGCAAGGGTTCGTGCACTTGTAGTCCACAGATCCTGAGCAATCCCAGGGTCCTGATTCCTTGAGACCCCTCAGAAGGTCCAGGACTGGCACTGATTGCAGTCACTAGCAAATCTCTTCCTTCTTAGGACACGGTCAACTCTCCCTGGAAAGGCTGGCCTCACCCTGAGACTATTCTATATAGAAGGGCTATCCACAGCCTGGATCAGGCAGTCGGGGGGTCCTTCCTCCTCTGTTACTATGTGGCTGGGCGGCTTCAATACCCAAAACAAGCTAAGGGAGAGAAGGATTTGCAGATCCATAGGCATCTGATGAGCCAGTCGTGTAGGGTTATCACACTGACTTCCTCCCATACTCCACGATGCTAGAGAGCATGCATGGTTGGGGCCAGACTCACTCTAAGTCTTTTCAATACTTTGACATCGCTGAGAATCCAAAGCTACATAGTACAGCCTACAATGTCCTGGCGTCCATTCTCCAGCGGAAGGATCAGGATTTCCACCCAAGGTGATGTCATAAGCCTGGGCCATAGGATGGACTCAGCCAGTCAACCCGCCAGCCCCAGTCAGTGCGTGTGGATTCAGAAAATCTAGATGGAGTCATTTTCTACATGACATGTGGAGGCAGAAAACGCACTCCCTTTCCCTCTCCTCACTCACTCATGTGGCCACCGTCCTATCACTGTACCCAGAAAGGGACTGAAGAGCCCGGGATGCTCGCGGGGCGCGGGGCCAGCAAGGGGATTGACAGGACCACCGAGACCATCCAAGAGTAAATTCTAGAGCTGCTAATGTTTCTGCAGGCCATCAGCACATAGACAGGATCACCTCAGACCCACAGAGCAGCTTCTGAGCCCGGCACATTAAGAAGAGAAGCCACCAGAGGCACAATGCACCCACAAGAAAACAACAGAGCGCCCTGACCACACACACGTTAGCCTCATGCAGAAGCAGCCTATATTCGCATGGGAAGCCTTTTATAAACAGTTCTTTATGCTCAACTTTTGCACTTAAGAGGGAAAATATTCAATCATGCTGTCAATTTAAGCCACATACAATTACCATTTGCAAGCCAATCAGCAATGATGAAGCCCGTTGGCCACCTGCTGTGTGTGGTCGTATCATAAACAAGGGGTTAACTAGACAGATTATTAACAGGGCATCAAGAAGAAACCCAGCATGCTACTCTTCAATGGCCAAGGACCTGACTCACTTCCCTAGACAGCCACTTACAAATTAAAAACATCAGAAACATTTGCAACCAGCACAGATGAAAACTATTGGAATATTTTAGATGGCTGATTTTCCCCCAGGGAATCATCCCATTCATGCAGTTCTCCAGTTCCCGTGCTCTGTGATAGGTACACATGTATGTAACAAACACTTAAAGCCAAGAGCATAATGCAGCCACAGGCCCGTTGTTCTTACTATGCGAGGGGGTTTTATCGAAAGCATGGCGGTTCTCAAGGGCTCTGTACCCCAGAATGGAAGGAAGCAGGTACTTGGGCAGCAGGTCCTCTCCTATCAGAATCATCTGACCTGGGGTTTCAGACAACACAGGGAGCTATCACCGCTGGACATCTCTGCACCTGAGGAGGGGAGAGCAGTGATCCACCCCATCCCGATTCGAGCTGACTCATAAGCAGCTCCAGGCGCCGCATGACTCATGAACCCAGCAGCCAGTGCTCTCTCTCTCTCCCTCCTGACCTCTCATATCCGAGGGAGGTAACTGTGAAAACCATCAGGTAAGGGTTTCTGGAGAGGTAGGACCTTAAGAAAACAGGATAAAAGTGCAAAAGATGGACAGGAAATCGTTCTACTCCCAATGTGTAAAATAGAACAATTTAGTCAAAAGCAACAATAATTTGCCTAAAATATTCAAAAAAGGAGCCCCTGTCTCTTACACTGCTGAATACATGCATATGTGGTTGGAATAGCACAGAACAATACCCTCTTGGGGATGTTGCTGACTGTACTCCTACATGGGAAACTAGAATAGTGTGTGTGTGTGTGTGTGTGTGTGTGTGTGTGTGTGTGTGTGTGTGTAGCAGCAAGCATTCCCACTATTTAAATATTCCCAAGTCCATCTCTCCAGGAAAGGCCCCACAAAATAGCAGCTGCCTCAAAGCACTGAGGCCAAAAAGCTTGCAGAGAAAACATCAATTTTCTGTGAAACACCCTGCAGCCACCTGACTACAAAGACCCACACATTTCCTCTTCCTCCTGCTGTAGGGTGCACGCTTGTTGTATTGGGCAGGTTGTCAGCATCCACAGTGGGATGAAGGGAGATCACCAGCATCCAGTGTGGGATGGAGGGAGGTCACAGGCATCCAGTGTGAGATGAAGGGAGGTCACAGGCATCCAGTGTGGGATGGAGAGAGGTCACAGGCATCCAGTGTGGGATGGAGAGAGATCACAAGCATCCAGTGTGGGATGGAGAGAGGTCACAGGCATCCAGTGTGGGATGGAGGGAGATCACCAGCATCCAGTGTGAGATGGAGGGAGATCACTGGTATCCAGTGTGGGATGGAGAGAGGTCACCAGAATCCAGTGTGGGATGGAGAGAGGTCACAGGCATCCAGTGTGGGATGGAGGGAGATCACCAGCATCCAGTGTGAGATGGAGGGAGATCACTGGTATCCAGTGTGGGATGGAGAGAGGTCACCAGAATCCAGTGTGGGATGGAGAGAGGTCACAGGCATCCAGTGTGGGATGGAGGGAGGTCACAGGCATCCAGTGTGGGATGGAGGGAGATCACAGGCATCCAGTGTTCCTCCAAATTGATCTTGGTAATCACCAGGAAGAGCCACACTGGAAGAAGTTTGGCACATTAATGGGCTCTTCCTGTACTCAATTGGGTGACCGATCTGTCCCAGGTCTTCAGGACACTTTCCAGAACACTCCACTTAGTCTCCTATCTTTGCAGGGAATGGGCTGCAATCAGGATCCCAAGCTGTTTTAGAAATTCACTCAAGCTCAAGGCTAGGAGGAAATTGGAATGACAACCCACAGGAAACACCTCCAGTCACAGAAGCAGTGTAAATCAGTATTCAGCAAATTTGGACTTTGTGGGTACAAGTTATCGAGTTCTTGCTGTTGGCTCTGACCTTTAGCGGCTGCTCTCTGGGGAGGGCATATAGGTGTGTGAACACATGCTGCCAGCACTCACACCAACACGCCTTCTAGACAAGCTATGCCTCAGCCACACTGTCCTTAAACACTGGCATCAAAGACGCCTCTGGCCATAAGAGAACAAGGAAATCACTACAGCACAGAAAGTGCTCTCTCTCACACACAGGTGTGGCCAAGCCCCTGTGTGGACAGTGTGAATGAGGTAGGCATCTGACTCTCCAGCAGCAGCTCCAAGGTCCACAAACCACCACCCGAGGAATCTTTTCCAAGACACAAAAAAGACAAAATACCTCTGTTCCAACATCGAATGAAGTCCAAACAAATGAACAAAAAAAAAAAGTCCAAGCAGAGGGCTTAAAATTCCCTTTAAAATGCCCACCTACGCCAGCATGCATGCCCCTCCCTGGCAACCAATGAAAGCTCATCATTCCCCATGATTTTTAACAGTTTTCCTTTTTCCGTCCAGAGAATGACTTAAGCTTTTGCAAATGTAAACACTGTTTATGAGGAGATAGACATGAAAATAAATGGATGAGCTAGGAAAGTTAACAAGCCAAAGGCTTACATGGCATTTGTGTTTTAACCTAAATTACACTCATCCTAGGAAGTCATTATTTGGCACAGAAACAGTGTCCTTTTTGGTTTAAAAAAAAAAACAAAAAAAGCATCTTGCTTTTGTTTCTTACCTCCTAAAGTATATCAAAGTCTTAAATCTAATCATCATTCTTCTGTGATAGGGCGATTTAGTATTTTCACAGCATTTTCCTACGGCAAGTATAAATAAATATGAAATTGTCATGAAAATTACATTTGTGAGTCAAGTGGTGAAGATACTAACTCTAAATTAGCATTACCCCGGGAAATAATATTTCAGGAAAATGAGCATTAGACATTTGTTGGGACAAGTTTAATGGGAAAAAAAAGTATGTATAGACAGCATCTATACATGCTCCCACATTTATTTCTCTTTACCTTTAAACACTCTAATCACATGTCTCTCTTGCTTTCTCCAAGCTGTGTGGATATTACCCAGGGTATGACCTAATTTTGTCCAGTTTTCGATCCCACAAAAGTTATTGGATGACTGTTTTCATAGATTCTTGGGGGGTATAGCTGATGCATTTGCCAAGAGCATTCTTAAAGCTACAGCAAATAGTTTTCTTTCTCAGGACTCACCGTCTGGTGCCTCTGCCAGATCGGGGGTCCTCAGCAGAGTCCTGGGCATTGCTTAGTTTGCCCTACATTTCCCCGTCCATGGGATTGTTTCAAAGTAGAGTCGCTGCTGATCTCCTGAGGTGAACTTGATGGCCCTTGTGTCCCCAGACAGGTTTCTGGCTACCCATAAAAGCAGACTTTGAAAAGCCACCCCTCCCCCATGCAGAAGAGGTGCCTGTCTATGAAGGGTCAATGGAATAAAATCCACTTTTCCGTGCCTCAGTTGTATTTCACAACATACAGCCTGTAATATTACCTCTCCTCCCAAAACTGAAGGAAGAAAAATATGTTTTTTCCCTAAATCGGCTGACTTCAAAATGTAGATTTCAAATATGTTTGTAGAATGCTACTGGGCTCTCACCCCTTGAGAGACATAAACTATACAGAACTTCCTTTTCTTTCAGAAATACAATTATAAAATGGAGCAAGACAAGAAAATAATCTTCAGTGGGCCCCGGGGGTTCCTAAGCGATCAAGTACTTTAACAGATGTGGGATGCAGTTAGAATGGCATGAATCGTCATCAGGCGAACAAGCTGCCATGTTTCGTGAGAGTTCCCTGTACCCTCTTGGCTCTAAGCCGCGTGGGAGCTGGGGGACAGGAGGCCCCAGCGAGCCTTCACACATGGGTGCAGTTGGTGGACGGCGGGGTGTCTATTCGGCTCCTGTTTTCCTTAGTATCACTGGGGAGCGACTCGTTGTGGATGTGACACTTGAACACTTGCTTGTACGCCTTCCGGAAGTTTTCTGAGAGGAAGGCATATATGATGGGGTTCACCGAGGAATTGCTGTATGCCAGGCAGTGCGCGGTGATCCTGAAGAAGAAGGAAGCTTGAGTCAGTGGGAAGGCTCCGAACTCAGCCCAGAGGTGGACGACATGATGGGGCAGCCAGGATATGCCGAAAACCACAACCACCACCAGGACGGTCTGTGCGGTCTGCGAGAGAGGAGACGGGAGATGCATGAACACACCGGTTACATCGGAAGAACACAGCCCTGTAAAACACGCCCCGAGAGTATCTGCATGGACTTGGATTGGGATCAAATAAAAGTGTTAAATTAGACCTCATGTAACTTAAGACCCAGCTGTGGCCTTACACAGTCCTGACTCCTAGGCATGTATCCAGTGGGTGTGGGTGTGGCAAGCATGAGATTGGAAGAGGAGGAAGATTAAGGACTATCACTCCAACCAGCAGAATTCTTCCAGCAGTCACAAGATCCAGAGCAGGAGAATGCAGAGCTCTGAACCATATGACCTGTGTACAAGACAACAACAGGAAGCAAGCCCCTTCCGGCGTGCACACACCACGTTCCATGGACAGCCTGGAGCTCAGACAAAAACTGCCTGACACGAGCAAGTGGGAGATGTTGCTTTCTCCTCATTACTGAAGACGAGATGGAGACAGACTGGGGGTCTCACAGCCGTCCTAAGTGCAGCCTGTAGACCAACCAGGCCCATTGCTTGCTAGCTTAACTTTGACCTTGCTCTTGTTGCTCCTAACTCAAAAACACTCAGAAATTTGGGGCAGGGTCTCCGTGTTCCTAAATGATTCCCACTGAACAGACAGCAGAAGGAAACCGCCATTGGCTTGTGATCTCAACACAGGGGGCGCATACTGACTGGGCCACATTCTGTGTGCACAGGCAAGGCCTCCCAGCTGGCCAGCATCCTAGAAAGCAACACAAACCTCAGGAGACCTTTTGTAAAGGACACTTCTGACAGGGATGTAGTACATGGCAAGATTTCCTCTACTGCTTCTCATGAAAGGGGATCCTATTGTTCTAGAATGTAAAGTCTGAAATATAGGACATGGTGACAAAAACCTCCAGGACTGAGTCTTGGCAGCAAGTAGACGTTCATCACCGAGGAAGGTTGAGAACCAACATGTAGTGAATGGCCAGACTTCTGGCGGAGAAGGCGGGGAAGCTGGGTTTCAGGTCAGGAATAGGAAACACTATGAGGCATGGGGACAGGAGAGGCATCATGGATTTTGCAAGACTTACTGGCCAGACAACAGGTCTGTTCATTGTCTTTCAAAGATGACAAAACCTCATGACTTGATTTCCTCGTTAATGGAGGAAATTAACCAACAAAATGATCCCCAGATTGTGCCTGGACCATGTGAGAGCTAAACCAGCTCAGCTATTAAAAACCCACAGGCAGGTGTTACAAAGTGAAAGCTTACCTATTAAGTCCACTTACAGCCTGGGCCACAGAGCAAACGTAATTAGCTCACACATATTAAGGAAGTGTTTGCTATCAATCCTTTTGCCCATTAGTGTGTGAGAACTGCCATTCTCTGGTGATTTCATCAAACAATCTAGAAACGATTATGTCCACACTACATGAGTACATAGCCTCCTCCATCTGAGATGATCAAGCTGTCTCTCTACAAAAGCTCCGCCCCGTCAATATTCCGTGTCATTGCTTCTTGTAGGAAACACGAGCTAAGTACAAAGCTAAGAGCAGATCTACACTTTGGCAGCTTTCAGGTAAGATTCATATCTTATCAAGACCTGAAATGCAAATGACTGTGTGACCTGAGTATGCAATATTTTTCATGGCAGATGTTTCTCTGAGCATTTGTAATTCATCCAAATGTGACTCTAAATGTTTGCAATCCCTCTGCCTTTCTCAGAAACATGCATATGAGCCTGCTTCTTTTTTCAAGGCAGCTTTGAACACAAGTGGCTAATAACTTGTGATGCAAACGTTAGGAAAATTTATAGGTGCGTGTTCACATGAACTATCATCTACCTACGACAGCACCTACAAGAGCTGACTAGAATGCTTCTGAGAACACAACAGTCCAGCTGGGAATTTCAGAGACGACACGCTCTCTTGCGTGTCTCCTTAAGCTCCAAGGTCCACCCAAGTTAAGGTTCTCAGCTGCCTTGCGCCTGTATCCTCCACACAAGCTCTGGGCCTTGATCCCAGTCTGAGAGTGTGAAAAGCCAGATGTTCCCAAGAGTAATTATCGTAGCCATCGTCTTCTCTTCATCGTCTTCTCCTCCTTCTTTTTTCTTTTCTTTCTGCTCTTTCAGCAAATGCTATTGGAGCTGAAGAGAGCAGGATTTAGCAGCAGAAATTCTGCCCTGATTAAAAACTGTCCTTCTTGATGGATGATCTCTCCCTGAGTATATAACTACAAAGCAATATGTCTAGAATACATTGGCTCAACGTTAAAGGCCTATTCAGAATAATGCATGTGTTCTAACCCCAGCCCCAGAACCATGGTAGATCAGTGTGCCCATCATTCCCCCAGAGCACTCTGGGCCCTGTCCCTATGACTGATTCACTATGACTGAATAGTTATTAGATAGTCAGTTACCTTGGAATCTGCCTCATTACAAAGCTCGGGAGCTTTAGTGAATCCCCATGAACTGCATAAAAGCCACAATAAAACTGGGGTTATCTCATGGACCTTAAGTGTAAGCAATTAAAGAGGTTTCTCTTGATACTGACAGTTCCCATTGCAGAAGCATTTCTACTCACACACAAAGCAAGAGAGAGACGCTGCCTCTGCTGTGTGTGTCCCTCTGGATATCAGAAAATAGTATGGACCCCCCTGCATGGGAAGTGCTAGGCTTTACATGAGAAAGGAGGGTTTAATCTTCATGTCTAACATTGTGCCCCCATTTCTCCTTCCCAGAGACATCATGGTACTCAGCGTAGTCATTGCTGACACCATTCATGCATGGGGAGAGCAGAATGCTGACTACCATGGACAGAGGCGCAGTATACACACTTGAGTTTGGCCCTTTATTAGCATGGTTTACACTGGACCCATTTAAAAAAGAATTGGGGGCTGGAGAGATGGCTCAGTGGTTAGGAGCACTGGCTGCTCTTCCAGAGGATCCAGGTCCAATTCCCAGCACCCACATGGCATCTTACAACTGTCTGTAACGCCAAGATATGACCCCCTTACACAGACATGCATGCAGGCAAAACACCAATGTACATAAGATAAGAATAGATAAATTAAATTAAAAAAACAAAAAGCTTGGCAGTGGGCCTTTAATCCCAGCACTCAGGCAAAGGCAGGCAGATTGCTATGTGTTCAAGGCCAGCCTGACCTACAGAGCAAGTTCCAGGACAAGCTCCAAAGCTACACAGAGAAATCCTGTCTCTAAAAAGAAAACAAAAAGAAATTAGTCTCCCTAGAGCAGTGAGTTGCTCCCTTCAAGCAATCTGAGATGTCTGCCTTTTCTTCAAAGAGTTTCATTCACAGTGTGTCTAACAGAACTCGGCTGGGAAGCAAAGAAGGGGTACAGGGCTAATACATGAAAAGCCCGACACAAGCTGTGTGAACAACAGCCAGAAGGCTCACTGCACGAGTCAGGAAACAGAAAATAGAGACAAAATGCGCCTGCTGGAAGAGTGTAGAAGGTCATGAGACATCAGCGGGCCTTTGACCAGGGTTCTGGAAGAAGCATTCACCCAGTGTGCCGCCTAGCCCACCCCACCACTCTCCCTGCAATACCTAAGGTTCCCAGCTCAGGACAGCCAGCCTCAAGCCAGAAGCATCTCTTTCTGCCAGCAGCGCTTTAGCAAGCCCTTCATAGGTCATTGGGCTTTTAATTATTTCTGCGGGGCTGGAGAGTCGGCTCAGTGGTTAAGAGCACCGGCTGCTCTTCCAGAGGACCTAAGATCAATTCTAGCACCTATATGGCAGCTCACAACTCTCGGTCCAGTCCCCCAGGAGAGCCAAAACTCTCTTCTGGCCTCCAAAGGCACTGGACATATATGCTGCATAGACACACATACAGGCCTGTACATAATACACACATGTAACATAAAAACAGAACGTCAAATGTTTCTGAAAAGAAATCAGACCTCCTGCCCCTGCATTTTCTGCCACGTGTGACTGGCTGTACAATGTGTCCATCACAAAGGGCAGGGTTTGCCCTTCATAACCACGATGGACCTCACGCGGAAATCTCTGCCTGGTGATGTGACTGTGTATATCCCCCAGACTCATGGGTTGAAATCTGATCACCAGGGTGACAGTATCTAGAGAGGCCAGGCCATTGGGAGAGGATGGGGAAGAACCAACCCTCCAAAGCAGGATCGCTGTCCTTATAAAACAGCCCAGGGAGCTACCCAGTCCATTCGGCACGTGTAGACACAGAGAGAATGCTGGGACCAAAACTCTACCAGCACTTGACCTTGCTCTTCCAGCCTCCAGAACCACAGGAAATAGATTTCTACTGTTTAGAAGCTGCACATTGTGGGCTATTTTGTTCTTGTCACGTTGACAAATGAGTATGGAACATGGACAGAAAACTGCTTAGCCGCCAAGAAGGCCCAGAAATAAATGGTGTGAGAATGAGCGAGCAAGGAAAATCTCTACTCCACTGACCTGTTCCCCATCGGAAACCTATTTCCCATCCATCCTTTGCTGTGGTTTGGATGTGCAATGTCCTCTAGCCAGGGCTCACAGGATTGAAACTTTGGTACCCAGTTGAGGTAGGGTCTAACTGAAAGAAGTCAGTAGCAGGGGGAAGAGCTTGAGGTCTCTCAGCCCAGCCCCACATGCGACCACTGTGCCTTCTCTAACATGTTGAACTACACCGTCTTGAACCCTCATCCCCAAACAATCCTTCCTCCTTAAATAGCCTCTATTCAGGTATTTGATGACAGTAACAAGATAAGTAACAGCCATTGACCATGGAGATGTGTGTTGCATCGGTCTCCATCGAAGACCATGCCATCCCTTACGTAGTAAGCACCGAACATGTGTGCTGTTGACCTGTGCTGAGACCTGGAAAAGGTCTCAGGGCCAACCTGTGACAGGGTGCTGAGGTCTAGGCTGCTCTGTGCCAAAAGGGCTCTTTTCCAGCTCAGTCTCTCTTAATGCTCCTCTGTCCTCCTTCTCCTGGAAGGTTGCTTCCCTCACACCCTCTCTAGTATCTCTTTCCTACCCACACACACACACCATCATGTGTATTTGCTCTATGCAAACAAAAAGCCAATTAAATCTACCAGACGAACTCCAACATCTGTTCAGCAGCCATGAGAGGGTAGAGTCTGAGAAGGGACGAGAAACATCTCCCTTTACAATGCTCAAACTTTCTTCCTCGTATAGTGGGGATAAGCAAAGGGGAAATTTTATATAAATAGGCATTCATTCTACACATGCAAGTGCTTACAAAATGGCCATTATGCTCTTCATTATAGAATAAAAGAGAGGCTTTCCTCATCTCCTCTCACACACATTGTTCCTTCTAGGACCTTTTCAGCTTCTCACCAACAACTCTTCAAAGACAGCGATGAGATTCAGAACTTTTTTTTAAGGAGAACAGCTGCATCCTCTCCATCAGAATAAACTGGTTTTTGTTTAGCAGTCATAGGAATTAAACCTCGCGCCTCATGAATGTCCGGGATAGGCTCTACCAGGAAGTTGCATCCCAACCCTTTTCCATTGGCTTAGTATTTTCAGACAAATTGTGTCTGGCTGAGTGACTAAGATTTGCCTTGAACTCCAAGTTTGCTATCCTCCTGTCTCAGCTCCCCAAGTACCTGAGATTAGAGGATCTCAACACCTGGCTTAAATCTTTTGACTTAATACTAAATATTTAGCGTAGTGAGCATCTTCCTCACTATTAAGTCCCAATAAGCCCACTCTTCTCTTGTGTGTGTGTGAGTGTGTGTGAGTGTGTGTGTGTGAGAGTGTGTGAGTGTGTGTGAGAGTGTGTGAGTGTGTGTGTGAGTGTGTGTGAGTGTGTGTGTGTGAGTGTGTGAGTATGTGTGTGTGTGAGTGTGTGCATGAGTGTGTGTGTGTGTGTGTGTGTGTGTGTGTGTACTCACAGTTGTGAGCATGTGCTTGTGGAAGCCAGAGGACAACATCAGGTATCTTTCATCAGGAACAATCACCTTGTTTTTTTTTGTTTTTTCCTTAGGTAGGGTCTCTCCCTGGCCTGTAGCTTACTGACCAGGCTGGGCTGCTGGCCAGGGAGCTCCAGTGATCTGCCTGTCTGCCTCGCCAGTGCCCGGATTACAAGGGCACCCCACCCCACCAAGTCCAACTATTCTCTTCTCTTCTCTTTCTGTTTCATTTGTTTGTGTACATGAGTGCTCCACATGAGTGCTCCGTCTGCATGTATGACTTTATGCCAGAAGAGGGCATCAGATCCCAGTATAGATGGTTGTGAGCCACCATGTAATTACTGGGAACTGAACTCAGGACCTCTACAAGAGCAACCAGTGTTCTTAACTGCTGAGTCACATCTCCGGCCCTCTGCTTTTTCTTTTTCTTTTTCTTTTTTTTTTTTAACTTGGATTCTGGAGACCAAACTCAGTTTCTCCTGCTTGTACAACAACCATTTTATTGACTGAGCTATCTCTCCAACTCCCTGGAGGATGTTAGCTCTCCAAACACTCATCCTACTGGACATCTTTGGACATCCACGTTTTTCTCGTGATGCTGAATCCCTTTTAGAATTCCTTTTAGAAACCAGAGGTCGGCCTGTTCCTGCACAGTACCTACATGCTATGAAGAGCCTTCCAAGGAGAAATTACAACAAGTTCTTAATTGTTCTTAAGGACTCATTTTCTTAGAGGTGAGAAGTTGTGCTTGAAGGGAAACTAATAGATTAAGAGAATATGAAGATGACATTTAAATGCAGAATTGGTAGCAGGGGAGGAGAGCTCTGTATTCAGGGCTGACTCCTGGTATAGAACTCATACTTCATTGATTGTTATAAAGAAAGATCCACAAGCTTAGGACTAAAGTCACCTAATAACTGCTGGGAGCTAAGGGCGGGCCAGGAGCAGATGGCTGAGACAGTCATCAGTTCTTATACACCCCCCCTGCCCACCCCACTCCCCATCCACTCCTCCCTCCCACCCACCCCCTACAAGACCTCCTGTGAATGGATGTGATGATAATTTAAAACAAAAACAAGCTCAGCTCTCCAAAATTGACAGCCATGGCATCTGTTTGTGAGTATTACCTTTTTCTTGGATGCTTCTGACTTTTTTGACATGTTCTTCAACTTTTTGTGCAGATGGTTAAGGACCTGCAAAAACGCAGACAGACAAGGCAGGTTTACCCTCATGCTTTACTTACACACTGTCTCTTCTTCAGAGGCAACTGCTAAACATTCTGGTGTTTACAAAGCAGTAACAATAGAAATGCATCTTAGAGCAAAACAGCCCTGAGTCAAAGCCGATACCTTCAGAGGTATTCCTGGAAGACAGCCAGCATCCAGACAGGATAGGGCCAAGGAGAATGCTAACAAGCTCAGAGTTTCTTGGGAAAGAGCCCCCCTCCCCCACCTGGGGAGGGGTGGGGCTTGCTGGATGCAGTCCTCTGTCTGCCACGGTTCTTCATGCCCAAGAATCTACCTACGCCTAAAAGCACCAGGTCCTAGGATACCTGAGGCGCACTGACAGCTCGGAGACAGTGAACACAGAGACCCAGGCTGTGGGAGTTCCTGATCCAGGGGAGAAAACCAAGTGAACAGGAAGATACTATAGCCTGACAGCTGCTCCGTGTGATGCCCCAGGCCTGTACCAGATTCTGATGCTTGCTGTGAACCCCGCCATTACAAATCTCTTCAAGCAAAGCACCAGCCAGCAAAGCTCCTTTCTCCTGTAATGCAAATACTGTGTGGTCTTTAGACAGCCCCCACCCCTTAGGAATTCAGCATCATTGGTGATTGCAAGGTGGTAAGGCAGCTTTAATATCTTGAGAAGCCACTCTGTGCTCTTACCACTGCCATATTTGGGAGAAATAATATGAATGTTGCTGTTACTATTATATATGGGAATTCACCATCTGCACGAGGTCCACAGTGCCTAACCTGCAGAGCTGGTCCCAGGGTTATCTTCTCTATTGTGGTGGAGAACTGGAAATAAATGGCTTGAAATGGGCTGTGGATTTCTGAAGAGGCTCTCAGGTCGTGGATGCATGTTCCAAGCACTTGGATGTTTCCCTCCAACACAGCAGCATGGAAATAATTTAATCCAATTGGCCTCATGGCCAAAACCTTCTCCACTCTGCCAGAGGCAGCTCCATCAGTCACATCCTAATTGAGAAACCTCAGGATTCATTTACCAGCCTTCCCTACCCGAGCAGCCAGAGCAGACAACGAAGCAGCCATCTCCAGGGAGTCTCTGCCTTCAGATTTCCTGCCCTACTGAGACACTTCTCACTGTTGAAAACACATCCATTTCTGTCAGTCACACAAGCCTTTGCTTGCTATGGGAGCAAGTGGGCACTCACTGGTTCACTGACAGTGAAGTGTCTCTGTTCAGCCAACAGAAAGTACACAGCAGCCAGTCACCGAGAAGTTTTCAATGGTTGCAGTGAGAAAAGCTTGTAAGAGGGAGGTGAGGTCTGGAAGCAGGAGCCTGCGGATGGAGTCGGGCTTGACCAGCTAGCTGACAACAGCCAGCATGTTTGTAAATCCCCATACATAACAGCAACAACAACATTCCAGAAGCTCCCAAATATGACAGTGGCAAGAGAACACAGTGTCTTCTAAGCAACTATTCTAGCTGGAAACATCTTTGGCATAGGTGTCAATATTTGCAAACTTATTAAAGCTAGGACAGATACGCTAAATGCAAAACCTGCGAGATGGCCCTACATCACCAGTGATGCTGAATTCCTAGCAGAAGATGTCCAAAGAGCACAGATCACGATACTGTGTGTGGGTCCCAAAGGGAAAGGATACAGGGCATGCCAAAAGAGTTCACTAAAGGGCATGAGTATGGGTGGCCTGCTTCTTGATGTTAACTGGGTTTACACGGTCAGGCCAACTAAGTTGGGTCCCAGTTCAGGAATCCTGCATCACCTAAGAATATTGACTTCGCTGAGCAGTCCACAGAGATGCTTCTAAATGTTCTTCTTAGTCCTGCTTCCCTCCCACAGCTCATCCTGACACATTGTGACAGATCTTAAGGTCCTGCCATTGAGGAAGAGATTGTAGACAATGGGGACCACTTATGATTTCATCTCTGGAGACAATGAGCATAGTGGGCGTGCCCTCACTTGAGACCTAGGAGGGCTCTAAGCAGAATGCATGCTGAAGGCAGAGAAGAGCCATATTCAGGGACACAGGCGGCCCCAACTCACTGTATTCTCCAGGGTCTTTTAGCTGCAAAGAGCTAGCTGTCTCACTAAACAGGGCTGAGAAGCTCATCTCTGGAATGCAACTCATTGGTTGGTTTTTAAAAAGAGAAATTTAAGTACACAGTAATCTCAAGTGCTATTTTGGCCATCTGTGGTTCCTCACATTGGCCATCAGTCACAGTCCTTGGACATACACAGCTAGTTCAGAACCTGACACTCAGGTTCTAGAACCATTAACTAGATGGCACATATTTAGTGCCTGACAGAAAACAGCAGCGCCAGATCACTTACCTCCAGCCCCCTAGGGCCTGGGATAGATGTACAAGTATTAACATTGTCTCCAAGGATGTTTGCAACTAGACAGACTACTTGCTGAGAAGCCAACTATTTCTGGATGAAAAATAGGCAAGTGTCCATCCATTCATTAATTCTTAGACTTTGTCTTCTGTGGAACTTTGGTAGACCCTTTATTGACAGCCTGGATAGTCCTGAAAGTTTACTTTTTCATTTCCACAAAGATGGAAATTATTTTCCACCTAGGGACTTTGAAGACAACCTATGTTTCCTTTTCAAAGCAGCAGCTAGGAATTTAAAAGACCAATATTTTAAGTATGATCTAGTTCCCAGCACCTGTCCTCCAGGGCCTCATTGTCGCCTCCTGAAAACCCTTCCTTTACCAGTCTCTGCGTCTGGGCATTCACACATCCCTCTGACAATCCTCAAGTCCTCTTTCTTATTAATAAAATAGTGACTTCCCACCCAGAGGCTCACAGAACAAGCTCATGGGTGTGTGTCCATGACACACAACTCAATGTGCATAGCATTTGCCTTGCATTTGAAAAGACCAGATGAATAAACCGGCTACTTCCAGATAGCTAGGTTGTAGTAGCAGCTTTGGAGCCCGTGCATCCATTCAGAAGACACACTGATCACGTAGACGTGGGGAAGATGGCTTCTTTTAGATGTATTTTTCTGGGGGATATGTACTTACAGTGGGATGTAAGAAACCACCACTTTCCTGGAAAGGAGGTTGTTTATGGTCCTACTATCACTGTCCAAAAGATGGGGAGTCAATGAATGATAAAGGTGCATGGAAACTTTAGAATTTTCCCTGCAGGGATTCCCCCTGCTGCTGGTTCTCATAATACCCTAAAGGGAGATATGGCAGTGAGGTTATCCCAAGAACCTCATCAAGTGGCCACTAAAAACACACTCTGAATGATCGGTGACTAAGAAGCCTAAGGCTTTTGATTGACATAAGAGCCCATTACTCTGCAAGTCCTTAGGAGTTGTGAGCCACAGGGCCTTCTGAATTCATGAAGACAAGATAATCACATAGTTCCCCTAGCCTTGTATTCTTGCTGTCCCTCTCTGGGCCGAGCTCACCACCTGAATCCCTAACACTGTCCATACTGTCAGGAGCTGGGAGAGGGCACCTGACCTTCCACCCATGGTTCCCTGGGGACTTCAGTCAAGTATCTGTGCAGAAGTAGGGCCTCCCACTTGGATTTTAGAAAGCCAAACTAAATCCAAAGCCCTGTCCTGCTGAGCAGAGGCTTGCAGAGCCTGGGCTCGGAAACCCCGCTGAGTTGCAGAGGGAATTTCTCCAGGGGCCACACCAGCAGAGCCCAGCAAAAAGCTGGGGAGGGAGGGGCTCTTAGAGGGAACACGGGTTCTCTATTTGCCCCCCTTGTTGTATTAGCTTCTTGGGGTCCACGGATCTTGTTTAAAGGCTGCTGAAACCGAGGAGGCTCTAACCTTTTGAGCAGCTTATCCGGGACACATAACTGCCTCTGTGCTCTGCGGGGCTACCTGAGGCAGAGCTGCAGCGCCCTTGAAGAAAGGCAGGGACCGAAGACTCTCTAGAAGGGAAGGCAAACTCTCTCCAGCACCTCTCAAACTCTAACTTTCTTGTGTCACAAATCATGACGGAGCAAGCTGAGACAAAGTGAAATGGAGCGAGAAAGAGGGCAAGAGGAGCTAGGACGCTAGAGGCTCGGTCAGGGGACAGACAGGGCTCCCCACTCACCTTGGCATAGCAAAAGCAGATGAGCAGTAAGGGCAGGAGGTACCCAAAGACAAAAGTGCACACCACGTAAGCCTTCTTGTGGAGCTGGTTGGGCCAAAGCTCCCAGCAGAAGGTTTGGTTGCTGTCCCGATGGTAGAGGCGCTGGTGGTAGGCCACTGGCGAGGCCATGGCGATGGACAGCGCCCAGATGAAGCCCACGCCCAGCAGCGCGTTGCGGGACACCCTGAGGGAGGAGGAGCGCCGTGAGTGCACAATGGCCACGTAACGGTCCACAGACATCGCGGCCAAGGTGAAAATGCTTACGAGCATGGACACGGTGAAGAAGTAGTGTATGAACTTGCAGATGAAGGCGCCCAGCACCCAGGTGGGCAGTGCGTACACGGTGGCCTGGAAGGGGATGCAAAATAGCAGGTAGGCCAGGTCTGCGATGCTCAGGTTGAGGATGAACAAGTTGGTGGTGCTGCGCGGCTTGCCGGGCTTGCTGCGCGCCAGCACAGTGATCACCAGGCTGTTCCCCAGCACGCCCATCGCGAAGATCAGGCCGAACACCACCAACGTGATGAAGTTCTCCACGCCGATGCCAAACAGCAGCCTGGACTCCACGGCGGCGGCGGCGGGAGGCTCTGGATCACTCCCGTTCCCCTCGCTGAGGTTCAAGGCAGCCAGCTCCATCACTTACTGGCACACCCCCTTGAGTGTCTGTGCAAGGGAGTGCGCTGGGAAGGAGTGCCAGGCGGAGAAGGCTGGCTCTGGCGGGTAGCGGAGGATCGCTGGGTGTCCCAGCGCAGCAAAGCGAGAGTGGGTGTCTCCAGCCAGAACCTCCAGCAACCGGCAAGAGAGCAGGGGGCAGGCTGTGCCTGGTCCGACTGTCTGTCCTCTGTGCCCAGCCTGGTTAAAGAGGGGGCGGGGCGCTGCTGCAAGTACCGAGTTGAACCTTCCCAGGCGGGGGCGGCAGGCTGCGCTACACAAGAGGCACAAATCCTCCAGACGACTCTGCTTGCGAGCTGGCCGGGCAGGGTTCCTCCACGAGAACCGCAGGTGGAGAATCTTTTTGCGCTTTACCGGTTCTAATCCCTTTCTGGCCGCGATCCCTCGCTCCCTCAGTGCCTTGGGGTCGCACCTGTTGCTCTGAGCCTCTTCTTCCAGCTGAGCTCCCGGAGCTCTGGGGTACACACCTTGGATAGTGGAGAGAGTCGAGGAGCTTCCCACACTAAGAGCCACCTCCCTGCCGCGCTGGGGCTGAGGCTCCCTCCTGCCTTTTCCCGGGTCCTCTGCAGGGGCGAACCTCTCTCTGGGGTTCTCAGTGACAGGCCGAGTGTCTGCCACACAGGAGGGACAGGAATGGCTCAGCTGTGTCTCCCGGGTCCCTCCTGAAAAATCGCAGCTTGTTCTCTGAGCCTGAGTGCCCTCACCCAGATGAGGGGGACAGCCCACCTCCTTTCCGGGGCGCTGCTCTCAGTACAGTCCTCCGGGTCCCTCAAAGGCGACTTCGCACTGGCCGCCAAGCTGAAGGATCTGTGCACCACTGGCTGAGAAGACAGGCTGCCCAGCCAAGTGGTTCCTTTGGTCTTTCCCGCTCCCAGCAAGAGCAGAAATAAACCCCACAAAAATCAAAGGTTGGTCCTGCTATCGGAGGTTCTGTGACATTCGCTCATTCGCTGCCTCATTCCCTCCCTCATCAGCCCCAAGCTGGGGAGGGAAGAGGCAGGGATGAAGGGAGCATCGCCGCGTGAGTTTTCAATAGGAGCTTGTCCTGTGCACACAGTAGATCAATCATTTCCAGCAGGCATTACTCATCTGAGCGGCAACGTAAGCCTTGACGAGTGGTGTGTGTTTGTAAAGAAGTGCTGGACGTCCACCACTGCTGAAACCAGGGTAAACCAACTAGACACAGCTGCCTATCTGGCAGTTCACACCGAAATTAAAACCTGCTCTGTGCTCAGTGTAGACAGGGTAACTACATCGCTTTCAAATCCGCCAGCGTCCTCCAGTGCGAGTGACCACAGCTGTTGGACACAAGGTCCAAGGAAGAGCAAACACAGTGGCAGGTCTAGAGAAGTTCTGTGCCCAGGACATTGGCTCATAGCACAGTCCAGAATGTCAGGGAAATGTGCACAATGGTGAGGTAGAGCAGCTGTACCATGGGGAGTTCGGGGACACTATGACTCCATTTCTCCCCCTCACCAGCTCTCTTGGGACACTTTTTGCATACCTGTTAGTTCTTTTCTCTTCTCTTAACGCAGAGAGCTCTCTTACAAATGATGTTGTATTCATTTTATGGAGAGCAGAATTGTCAGCTGTTACTAGCATGCATCTAAGCATCCTAAGAAATCCTTGCTTGCCCTGGGAAGATGGAGCTGTGCTATCAGTTGTCTGGCCTTTCTCCCCAGCAAAACACTGTGGCCTTCAGCTTCACGGAGTTCCATTGTGTCCCTAGCTCTGTAAAGGTCACATGTAATATGACTTGGGGGAGTGGCTTAGCCTTGGGGTTTCTATTTTGATTTGTTATGGTGTGTGTGTGTGTGTGTGTGTGTGTGTGTGTGCTGGCATGTGTGGCAGTCAGAGCAAACCTTTCCAGAGTTGCTTTCTTCCTTCCACCTGGGCTCTGGGGATACAACTTAGTGATCAGGGTTTCTTGGGACCTTCCTTTACCCACTGAGACATCTGCTCATCCCTCTGTGAATTATTTTTTGACATGGCAGGCTTATAATGAGATTATATCATACCCCCAAGTGTACCACCCAGCTTTCAATACTTAAAAACTTATCAGTATCCTTGAAGTCATGTCATGTACTGATGACAGCCTCCATCCACCACAGCCACCTGTGTGGCCCATTGCTCATTTCCAATGCATATGTGATATATGCATATTGATGGCATTCTCTGGTGGGGATTTAGGGTTTCACTTTTGCTTTAGCGGCATGAGCTATGGTTTGTACTTTGATTTACAATTCGTCTTGGTTTGCCTTTGGCAGGTAATTCATCTGTCCTTGTTATTTCTACTCTTCCCCCATCCTGTGATATCCCCAGAGCTGTACATGAACGAGAGACTCAAATCCAGTGTGCCCATCTGTTTCCTAACTGGTGAGTTTGGTCCATTTCTCTGTGTTGCTGTCAGGGATCCAAGTGAATGGGTTTGTTGACATTGCCTGGACACTTGGCATCTCTGTTCTGTTTCCTACAAGCTGCTCCCTCTGCTGTTCTTTTCCTGGAAAGTCCTATAGCCCCTGCAGAGAGCTTTCTCCTGACTTCTGCAAGACTCTCCTCCAAGGCCAGCTTCCCACAGGGTTCTCCTGGCCACCCTTTCGCCATTTTGCTCCCAAGCTGCTATGTTTCCCTGCCTTGTTTGTCCCCTTTCTTGGTCTTTGTCACACGTCATATTACATAGTGTCTTTGAGAAGCCTCATCCACAAACAGGTGGGATTGATAAGCATGAAGCTCTATGGGTTAGTCTTGAAGTACTGCGACACTCAGAGCTGGACACATAAGTCTAGACTGTCATAGCGCCTCACACCATGCATTAGCTCAGGTGACCTCAGGGCCACCTTTTCATATGCCTCTAATACATTAATTAGTTAGTTAGTCATTACAAGTGCAGAGAACCTAGGAGGGAGGGGGGACACACTGCATAGCTTTTCTGAAATAGTGTGTCTTAGCTCAAGTGTGTGGGGAACACACACACACACACACACACACACACACACACACACACACACAGTACACAAATCGCTCTTCTACAAAGTGTCCGTAACAGTCATAACGGTCTATGAAAGCAGTACGTACGCATCACCAGGTGCTTCACAGGGGAGACTTGGAATTCAAATCATGCACAGTGACACAAACATCTAAGAGGCAGGAAGCAAGGCCTCTCCGAACAGTGCGGCCTCCTCGGCAGCTCCCTTCACACTCTCGTCAAGCAAAAGGTGGAGGACAATTTTATTAAAATTTGAGAGAACAAAACCAAGACAGCCAGGCTGTAAAACATGGCAGCTGCCTGAAAGACAGAAAGAAAACTGCGCCTTTTAAGTTTGGGGTCCCGGAAAGTCGGCTGGGCTTAGTGATGGAGCTGGGCAAGCAGCTGCTGGGCAGGAAGGGATAGAGGGCAAAGCTTCAGCTCGAGGACAAATGAAAAGGCCCAGGGCCTGAGGGAAAGCATGCCCTGGCTATGACTAGTATCAAATGAAAAGAGAGAAACTGTTTTCTGCCTTAGGAGAAGCAGGCACACCAGTGCCTTAGTCGTCCTTGCAAGTGACCAGGCATCTGCCTGACATCATCTTAACAAGCGTGGTCTGCAACACTGGCGAGCCAGGCCTTCTCCTCCATGAGGTGAGTACAGGGGACTGGCAGGTGTTGCTGTAGCTCTTCCCTGCACGGTGTGGATTCACCCACCTGGTGTGATGCCCCCTGTAGCACAGCACTGACTTCCAGCTAACAAAGACGAAGACACCGCTATCTTTCCCTTCGTGGTATTTTTATCTTCAGTGTTCTTTTGAAACAGCTTTCCCACCCACCCCACCCCCCTTTGACTTTTGCATTTTCTCCCTTCAAAGCCAATGTGAGTTCCAGGGTTTAAAGGGGACCACAGCTCTCCTCTGTCCAATTATCTTCATGAATTTACTCCCTGTCTCCTCTGTTACATTCCCAACCTTGCATTACGGTAATTGGTGAGTGGGATGTCAACTTTGACCCCGGAAAAAGTACCAGGGAGAAAAAAAAAACCCTCCTCTTGTTATTCCTGACAGCTTGGTACATTTCTGTCTGGGGAGTCCCGAGCTTCCAGACCTGCCTGGCTGGCCTGGCCCAGCCTCCCCGCTCCCCACACTCAGGTCCCTGAGCCATCGGGAGGGACAAGGGTGAAGGTCATGTTTGCAGTTTGTTTGCAGTTATGGCAGCCATGGGGACATCTCTTAGCAGCGAGGCTTTGGCTGATGCCGAGTACCGGAACAAGGTAGGGAGAAGCCACAGCTTCACGCAAGGCTCATGTTTATCTCTACTGTGCCATCTTGCTGAGCCGAATCTTGGGGTTGAAGCTGCCTCTCACTACATCGATGTCTGTGTTCCATGGCAAGAGTCTGTGTTACCAAGTTTGTTTGGAATGAGTAGAATCGTGTACAGGAGCTGGCTAGATGGCTTAGTAAGGAAAGGGCTTAATGCTGCCACGTCTGACAACCTGAGTTCAATCCCCAGGATCCACATGGTAAAAGGAGAGAACCAGCTTTTAAAGTTGTCCTTTGATCTTCCTACTCACACTGTGGCATGCACGAGCTCGTGCGCTAACACAGGCTGTGCATGCATGTACACACACACAGAGAGAGAGAAAGAGAGAGGAAGAATGTAATAAAAAAATCTAAAGGAGTTATTTATACAAAGTAACACAGTATATGAGATCCTAAAATTACCTAAAATACCTCTGAATTTTTAAGACATTACAGAATTTATTTTCTTTTCTTGTTTACATGGTGTTCTATAAGTGTTTTGTGCCTATATGGGCATCTCTTTCTCTAGGTTTGAGAATTTTTACTGATGATATTCTCTATGCTATCACCATGGTATTCTCCTTCTCTGCCTGTAATTTGGCAATTTGATCTTTTATGGGGTCCCAAAGCGCTCCCAAGTTCTGTTCATTTGTTTTTTTAATTTCCCATTGACCTTTACTGAGTGATCCAATTCCTCTATGTTGTCTTCCAACCCTGATTCGGTTTGTAAAATGATCCATTCTATTGATGGTGCTTTTTTTTTTTTTTCAGTCTGGGTTTCCTCTTGCTGTGAATACCTGAGCTCTGGTTTCTGGATACCCCCCTCCCTGCATGGTCCAGGAACATCAGCCTGTGCCTAGTCTCAGCC